AGGCAGAGGTAAACAGAACTCTGTGAATTCATGGCCTGGTTTACACAGTGAGCTCCAGGCCAGTGTCAGCGATACACTAGTCCCCCCCCTCCCCCCCCCCATCCCCACACACACACCCTGAAAATAAAATTTTAAAAAAGGAAAAAAAAAAAAGAAAGAGAAAAATGCACATTCAACTTTGCAGAAGTACAGACTTCAGACTTATCTAAATCCTGCCCTATTCATCTGACTGGGTTCAGGTGATAAGCACTATCTCCGCTGTCAGTGAGAAGGCTACATCCAAACCCCATCACAGGCCAGTGCGTCTACAGGCTCTCTTCTAACCCAGACAGAAGAACTCAAGAGAGCTGGTCTGTCTGCAAGGTCCAGGTGAGTCACCTCTGGGCAACCTGGCAAGGCGTAGGGCTTCAGAGAACCGGCCAGACAGCGTACTAGCCTCCAGGGAGTCATCGGCATTAAGGCTGGCAAGCAAGCAAGAACTGAAGGAACCCACCATCAGGCCTGACACTGAGTCTGGCAGTGCCCACTCCTCCAGAGAAAGAACAAGTCCAGACACTGAATGCTACATGAGGAGAGAACCCAGTCCCTCCTTGATGAAGGCCACATGTTCCAGTTGCCTCCCCAAACCTCTGGTGGACTCTGAGTGGGAGTTGGAGGTTTAACTCATGAGTGTGAGGTTAAGCACGCTATAGGACCCAGGTTCAACTCCCAGCACTACCAAGAACAAAGAGGAGTTGGTGTTATAGGTTTTTTTGTTTTGTTTTGTTTTGTTTTGAGACAGGGTCTTACTGTGTGGCCTGGAACTCAGAGATCTGCCTGCTTCTTCCTCTAAGATTCTGGGATAAGAGTGCACCCCACACCTGGTCAGGGTTCTAGTTTGAATGTGAAATGCCTGCATTGGTTCATGTTTGAATACTTGGCCCCAGCTGGTGGCAACGTGGAACCTTCATGGTTAGAATGGCTGGAGTTATCCGTGAGGCACTTGCACACTTGCAGTCTGAGTTTTCTGCACCCTTGATCAGGCAACAGATGAGAATAATCATGTTCCCACTGCCATAAACTCCACTCCACCTTTCTTGTTACTTGTAGCCAGAATAAACTTCTCCTCCCTTAACCTCCTGCCAGGTGTTTGAGAGCAGACTGGATACACACTGAGTACCAGGCTACCCTGATACTAGATACTTGTCCCAAACAAACAAGGGGGAGGAGAGACCTATGTGTAACCTAAAAGAACTTTGCTTTTATAAAAAAAAACTTTTGCTGTTATAAAAAGCCCAAACACCATTAGAAACATAAATAGATACAACCAAGTGGGCATAGCTGTGAGAACTTAAGTTGTCACCACAGACCCTGGTCTTTTCCAGGTAAAAACACAGGCATGGAGAGGCAGCTTGCCATCAGTCTCACTTGAGACCGTCACTAGACCCTGCTTCCAACATGAGAGACAAAGTAAATTTGTTCACCACTAATCCAGATGAGGGCCATGAGACCTCAGGAGTTAAAAATACTGGCTGTTGTAACAGGTGTGGTGGCCCACACCTTTAATCCCAGCATGCAGGAGGCAGAAGCAGGTGATACCATGTTAGTTCAGGGTCAGCCTGGTCTACAAAGTGAGTTCTAGGACACCCAAGGCTGTTACACAGAAAAACCCTATATTAAAAAACAAAAGTACTGGGCTGGAGAGATGGCTCAGCGGTTAAGAGCACTGACTGCTCTTCCAGAGGTCCTGAGTTCAAATCCCAGCAACCACATGGTGGTTCACAACCATTCGTAATGAGATTGGATGCCCTCTTCTGGTGTGTCTGAAGACAGCTACAGTGTACTCATCAATAAAATAAATGTTAAAAACCGTAGCTTTAATTCAGAATGGTAGATTTAAAAAAAAAAAAAAACAAAAGTACTGACTGCTCTTCCAGAGGACCTGGTTCAATTCCCAGAAACCAATGACACCTCACACCTGTCTGTAACTCCAGTTCTAGGGATTCTGTGATCCTCAGACAGATGTGTCAACAAAATACCAATGAAAAACACCCAGCACCCTCCTCATACAACTCACAACTGTCTGTAACTCCAGTTACAAGACATGTAACATCCTCTCCTGGCCTATGCAGGTACACACAGCACACGTGTGACACACTCATATATAACAAAAGAGCCCCCCTACACGTTCCTAGCAGATGCACTGGGTCCCCTACCAATTGGAGTGCTGGCTGGCTGACCCTCATTGCTTGCCATTGGCTCTCCTTCCCCTAACTGGACTGCGTGGTTCAGTCTCAATGGGAGAGGATGCATTTAAACCCACAGGGACTGTGGCTTGTCTCAGAAGGGGAGTGAGGGAAGGAATTTGTAAGGGTGGGACTGGGAGAAGGGGTGTGATCAGGATATAAAGTAAATAAATTTAAAAGAAAAAAGAAATGCTAGCCACCCAGGGGTGGTGCACACCTTTAAAGCAAAGGGAGGTGAATCACTTGAGGCAAAGTCTACAGAACTAGCTCCAGGACAGCCAGGGTGATCACCCTGTCTCAACAACAACAAAAAACAAACAATAACAAAACAAAAAAACAACAACCACTACTAAGATTTTATTGAAAAGATAAGTTCGAAGTCAATACAACTTTAAGAGATGGACAACTGCCAGATAACCATTGGCATAGACTGGGGGGGGGGACAATCTGACAACAGTCCCTCAGACTACAGCATGCACATCTCTTGCCCAGGGCTCAGACTTCTAGGAATCCATCTACATTATCAATCCTAGCCAAAGAGCCCAAGGACAGTCATGACCACATTTTGACTTGCCAGAATCCCAGAATAGCTTGTGTCCCTCAGGAGGGTCAGGATAGTAAAACGAACCACAGTCAAGCCCTAGGCACCACATGACCTTAAATAACCATCACAGAAACAGAGGCAACAGCAAATACCACCTGTGCTCCCACTGTCTAAGGAGGAAGGGGGGGGCGACGTCGGAAATGATGGCACAGGCTGTGTGAGCACTTCACTGAAGTCTGCTCTGAACACGGACTGAGCCTGTGAGCTATCATTCCAACAAGGAACCAAGTTCGATTCTTCAGAGCAGTTGAGACATCAGTGTGTGACAAGGAACTGAAGCTTCTTGCCTTCCCTAAGAGTCCATGGAGGATATTAGGGGTTGCTATGGCAAGAAAGACATTTCCAGGAAGTAACCCAAAAACCGTGGGGATGCCTAAGAGACAGGACAGCAGGCCTCCACTGGCACAGGGACTGGACAATTTTTTTTAGGATTTATTTTTTATTTATATAAGTATACTGCAGCTGTCTTCAGACACACACTAGAAGAGTGCATTGGATCTTGTTACAGATGGTTGTGAGCCACCATGTAGTTGTTGGAATTGAACTCAGGACCTCTGAAAGAGCAGTCAGTGCTTTTAACCACTGAGCCATCTCTCCAGCCCGACGTTTTTAATTTATATTTTTATCGCGGTCTTCTGCAGTGTTGGAGAGAGGTTTCTAGGCCAAATCATCTTTTTCTCTGCCCAAAATATGCATCTTAAACAAATATCAAGGATACAGAGCAACAACCCCTGTGCCATGAGGTGAGGGACCCTGGATCTTAGGGAGAGGGCAGGGACTGCATCTCTCAGCACTTCCTCTGGGCAAAGCTGCCACAGCATGGCCAATACTAGGGGAAACAGCAGATGTCCTTAATCAGGTGGCTCAACTGGATGAAGCAAAACAAGTGGACACCTGAAGGGGGCAGGCCTCAACTCTGCAGTGGACCCAGTAATTGTTATGTGTTCAGTTCTAGTGAGACCTTTACGGAAATGCCCAAGCAGAGGACTGTGGGAACCTGGAGGAGACTGCAAGGTGCAATGAGGGCCAGACTCTGTCCCTATGAAGGTCATGCTGTCTACTCAGCACATACTGTGTGTGCTGTTGTGGCTCTCCAACAGCACTGGGGACAAGGGTAGGAAGAAGCATGGGGGGAGGAAGGGCAGGCTGCAGACCGGCAACCTCCTGAACCCAGAACACCATGTTTCCAGCTGTTGCCAGGTACTCCCTATTACACAGGACTTTGGCCCTGCCCACATGTCACCTCATGACATGTCACAGCCCTAGAGGTAAAGTTGGAAGAGGAGCAGGGGAGGAAGGGAAGGAAGGGGAGGAGGCCACCAAAACACAGCTAGCTGCCCGCTGGGAACTTCCCTCAGCCAGGGCTGGTCCCGTGGCCCCAGTAAACAGGTTTCAAAATCATTAGTCAGCACTTTGCTGGGGACCAGCACCTAAGGTTCCCGGTCCCCACAAGGGAGCATCCAGGGCCTACAATCCCTGCCACCACTGGGCTGGGGGACCTAGAGGGCAGCTCAGAAGCTGACTGGTCAGCTGGCTTGCTTGTTCAGGCAGCCAGTACTGAGGTGGCGGCATCCTCCAGCCCAGATGAGTGGGCCCAGCCCCAACTGCCGGCAAGAAGGAATCTCCGGCAGCCCCTCCCCCTTCCAGCCTCTGACGCAGGAGTGGGCTGGCCAATGCCAGGCCGCTGAAGCAATGTCAACAAACAAACCCGCCAGCCGAGACAGGTGGGCCTGCCTGGGACACCAGTCTCAGTAAGGGCTACTGGGTCAGACACCATAGTGAGGAAAGGGTCCTTGGCACCAGGGTACACTACACCCAAGCCATAACGATGTAAACTAGGCAATCATCAGAGGTTCAACATTAGCGTTGATGGACTCCTTCCCATGCAGGCAGCAGATAAACTAAGGAGGTCCCCAAAACCTAGGAAACGCTAGGAAAAACTTGGACCAGAGATGGGGACCCTGAGCAGCCTCACAGTTGGACAAGCCAGAGACATGGCATTGAGAACCCATCGTTTTTTTCACCTAAAACAAATACTAATCTAGAGCCATCGACTGCCCTCAGGGGGCTCCAGCCCCAAGCAACCCAGAGCCTGAAGCGGTGGGTGGGACACAGGCAAGAACAGATCTACCCCTCCCCCCAAGCCCAACAGCAGCAGCCTCGGGCCTTACCTGGAAGTCATACAACGCCACAATGTTTTCGTGCTTTAGTTCCTAGGACACAAATGCAAGTTTCTCATAAGCAAGACAAGAGCTGACCCACCCTCTCCCTCTTCCCATCGAGGTGCTGGCTCACCTTCAGAATTTTGATTTCCTTTCCCAGTAGTGTCTGGGACTTGGCAAGGTTCTTCTTGTTAATGCATTTGACGGCCACCTCCAGGTCGTGCTTCTGAAAAGCCAAACGTGGACCTTCAGGGTTAAAAACATTCCCCCACCCCTTCTGCTCCCCACCAAGCTGGGAACACAAAGATGGCTTAGGGTGGCTGTCCCAAGGGTCTTGGAATGGGAGGATGCCAGAGGCAGACAGGTAGTGTCTGTCTGTCAGCCGGGCCTGGAATCTAAGTGGATGGAGTTCCAGGCTAGGTTCTCAGAACTGGTCTGACTTCGGGGCTAGCTAGGGAATCCTGGGCTGGCGTCTCCTGGTTTCTGGAGCTAGAGTAGCAGGTGGGTTTCCAATGCTGGGGTCCTTAACTAGATCCCTCTATTTCCGGAGGTAAGGTGTTGGGCTGGGAATCATGGAGTGCGGGGTCCCCCGAGAGCGTCACCCACCTCGCGGTGTCGACCCTTGAAGACCACCGCGAAGGCGCCGTGTCCAATCAGGTCCTTGCGAGAGAACTCGAACTTGCCCACGGTCTCGACACCGCCGCGGCCCGGCTCCATAACGCGCGCGGGCCGGGGGCGCGAGCCTGGGGGCGACGCTACGGGGTGCGCTGGGCTCAGGCGGAGGCCGGCGGGCCGCGTACACGGGGAGGGAGGCGCGGGCTCATCGCCAGGGCCCCGCGCCCCATCGGGCAGGCCTGGGCCGGGTCCCAGTCCCACAGGCCGGCGGACGGAGGGGCGCGCTCCCTCGCCGTCCTCCCCGGCACCCTCCCGGCGCTGACAGTCGGAACCCACTCCGACTCGGGCCTCAGCTCTGACACACTCCAGCTCCAAGTCGACCCTGACAGACGATGCAGCTCGGAGCCCCGCAGGGAAACAAAAGATCCGCGGAACCTGGGCCTCGGAGCCCGAGACGCCGGCGCAGCCGCACTGCGTGGAGGCGGGACGAGGGGCGGGGCCTGTAGAGCCCGGACCTCTTAGGTGGCGGAGCTGGCAAGGGGCGGGTCCGAAATAAAAGACACCTCGTGGGTGGTAAGGCGGGGCGGGGCATAGTGTGGGTGGTGCCTTCACCGGAGCCAGCCCTATACTGGGCGGGACTTGAGAAAGCAGGCACGATATGGGCGGGGCCGGAGCGGACAGGGCGAGCCAATACCTGAACTGTCTGTGACTGTGGCTCCTTGCTCTTCCCTAGGCACCTTTTTTCTTTATTTACTTATTTTATTCATGTGTATATGTGTGTGCCTACATGAGTTTATATGCACCATGTATGTGCATATAAACATGTACAAGCATTCATATAAACATGTATCTGCAGGGAGTCGGAACTTGGAATTGGAGTTTCAGGCAGTTATGAATTGCCATGTGGAAACTGGAAACCAAACCAGGAGGGCAGTAGGTGCACTTAATAGTTGAGCCAACTCTCTAGCTCTGCCCTACGTACTTCCTACCACCTGTTTTGTCCTGTTTTGTTCTGTTTGTGCTTTCTTTTGGAGAAGTCGAGACAGGATTTCTTTGTGTACCCTTGCCTACCCTGGAACTCACTCTTGTAGAACCAGCTGCCCTCATACTCAGAGATCTACCTGCCTCTGCCTCCTGAGAACTAGGATTAAAAGTTTTTAAACTGAATCTTCTCACATTGTAGCCCTGGCTGGTCTCGAACTCACAGTGTAGATCGTGCTGGCCTCAAACTCACAAATATCCACCAGCCTCTTCCTCCTGAGTATTGGGGTTAAAAACAGGTGCCATCACATCCATTTTTTATTACTCTCTTTTTTATTACATTCGTCTATTTTGTATGTGGGGACGGAGACTTGAGAACATGCTCACGTGGAGGCCAGAGGAAAATATGCAAGATGGTTCTGTCCACTTTGTGGCTCTCGGTATTCAATTCAGGTTGTTAAATTTGTCAACAAGGGGCCTTTATCTGCGGAGCCATCCCACCAAATCTTCTCAGTTTTCTTTCATTTGTTACTTTACTTAATTTTTGTTGTTAGAAGGGAGGTTTGAGGCAGGGTCTCATGTAGTCCAGGCTATCCGGGAGCTTATCAAACAGCTATAGATAATCATGATCTTCTGATTCTCCTGCAAATGCTGGGATTATATATAGCCTGGGCATTCAGTTTGCCTCAGGTATTTTTCTTGCCTGTCTGGTCACATGGGGACTACATGGGCATGTTGGAGCATTTGACGTTTACAACCACTGTCATTTGGGGGTTGTATTGCTGTGTTGTCCCATATGCCAAATCAAGGCTGTGTGTGTGTATGTGTGTGTGTGTGTGTGTGTATGTTGGCACACACGCCATTTCCAAGCACAATCATATTAGGAGGTGTATAGGTATGTTAGCCCACATGCCTATTCTGAGTCTTATCATATGAAGGACTGTATGGGTATGTCTGAGCTCATAATATGTATGACTCCAGTCATTTGGGGAGATATGTGGTCAATTTTGTTCACATGCCATTTTTGAGCCCAATAATACAGGGAAATGTGTGAGCGTGTATGTATACACACACACACACACACTACTCCAGCCTGGTCCTATGGGAGATATATAGATATGTTCACCCTCAGGCCATTTCCTAGTCCATTCTCATAGCATGGGGGTGGGGAATGACCATTGTGTTTTATAAAAAGAAAAAGGAAGCCATGGATATATTTAGTAGAGGCAAGGTATGGTGAGGTGGAGGGGGATGCTTCTGCAGGCCCATGCTGAGGCATCCCTTCCCCGTGAGGTACCAGCCACAGGACGGCATAGTATAGAATAGAGTTTGTTTAGGACATGGGGAGGGGAGTTGAGGGGGTAGTAGAGACAGAGAAAGGCGGGGGGGGGGGAGGGAGGGAGGGAAGGAGGGAGAGAGAGAGGAAAGGAGAAGAGGAGAAGGAGGAGGAAGAGGAGGAGGAGGAGGGACCAGCCACGAACACGTGGAGAGAGAGAGGAGAGGAGAATGGAGAGAGAAGGAACAGAGAGAGAAAAAGGTAATAGAGTAAGCAAGAGAGCAAGAGAGAGAGGAGGGGCAAGCAACCTCTTTTATAGAGAGTCAGACATACCTGGCTGTTGCCAGGTAACTGTGGGCAGAGCCTAGAAGAAATGCTAACAGCCACGATGGCCCCCATGCCTATAGTGAGGGACTGATGTGAGGGACTGCATGGTGGTGTTGGAGTACTTGATACTTACAAGCCCTGTCATCTGCAGGGTGGATGAGCATGCTATTACAGAAGACTGTCATATGGTAGGTGAATAGACATGGTGGCCCGCTTGTCATTTCTGAGTCCATTCATATACATAAATGAATGGGCATGTTGGCTGACATGCCGTTTACAAGCTCTGTCACATGGGATAGATATATGGTATGTTTGCCCACACACCATTTCCAAACTGGATCACATGATGGGTATATGTATATGTTAGCTTAAATGCCATTTTTCAGCACAGACACATGGGGAGGTGGTATATGTACATACTGGCCACATGCCATTTCTGAATCTGGTCATATGTGGCACATCTGGGCATGCTGTCCCATATATGTCGGTGTTATGAGTTATGTGGGATGATCAGAGAAAGAGACACTACAGGATGAACTTGGGCTTCTTAGAAGCAGGGTGAATCACCCTCTCGCAGACTGTACCCTGAACAGCCACACAGAAGCCTATGTATCGATGGTTACACAAAGTTGGGTTTTTTTTTGGGGGGGGGGGTAAAACCAGTTCCTCATACCAAAGCCCCTAATATAATCTATATGTTTCCTAAAGGAAAACATCTCTGGGCAGTGGTGGCACACATTTTTAATCCCAGCGCTTGGGAAGCAGAGGCAGGTGGATTTTTTGAGATCAAGGCCAGCCTGGTCTACAAAGTGAGTTCCAGGACAGCCAGGACTACACAGAGAAACCCTGTCTTGAAAAAAAAGAAAAAAGAGCCGGGTGGTGGTGGCGCACGCCTTTAATCCCAGCACTTGGGAGGCAGAGGCAGGCGGATTTCTGAGTTCGAGATTTCGAGGCTAGCCTGGTCTGCAGAGTGAGTTCCAGGGCAGCCAGGGCTACACAGAGAAACCCTGTCTCGAAAAACCAAACCAAAAAAAAAAAAAAAGAAAGAAAAACAGAAAAAAGAAAAAAAAGAAAGAAAGAAAAGAAAACATCACAGCCCTCCGGCTTTCATCCTTATTGTGAACTGTTTGCAGTACTCAATAATACAAGACATTCCAGGTATGCCAAGATCAAAGTCTCGTAAAGGCTGTAAGGCTCCTTCAGAAAAGCAACTCCATAGATAACAGGAAACAATCCCTGTTTTCTACCTCGATTTCTTCAAGGTCAAAGTACTTCTAGAAAAACAACAATTCCTTCTGGTGCCTACCCTCTATACAGCGGAAAACAACTATTTCATTTTAATGTTTACCCTAGATATAATGATTCTACTAGAATTCTACTACACACATATCTATTTTTTTTTGGGGGGGACACTGTGGACATGTTGGACACTGCCATTTACCACCCAATTCACATGGAGGGGAGGATGGGCATGTGGGCCCAGATTCCAATTCTGAGCCTGTTCATGAGGGTGTGTTTGCCTACACGCCATTTCTGAGAATGGCTGTATGGGAAGTATATGTGCACAGAGCTCCACATACATTTTCCAGGCATCGTCTGACAAAGGAGGTGTGTGGGAATGTTTGTCCTCAAGACATTTTGGAGCCCAGTTACAAGAAGAGGGGTTTATAGGTATGTTCTCCCACATGCCGTAAACAAGCATGATCATATACATGGTGGGGTGTGTGCAGACATGTTCCTTCACAAGACATTTCCTAACCTACTAACACAGAATAGTATATGGCCACTTTGGCCCACATGTATATTTTGAAGCTGGTCATAGTGGAACACATGTTATTTATAACTCTGATCAACGTTTGGGGGCTTTATGTGAATATCAGCCTACATACCAGTTCTGAGTCCGGTGCTATTGAATGGTGTATGTTGGTTATATGCAACATGGTGAGGTGTATTTGCATGTTGGCTCAGATGCATGTTTTGAGCCTGGTCATCTAGGGGGCAACATGGGCCTGTTGGCCCACATGCCATTTCCCAGTAAGGTCATTTGGGGTGGTATATGGACATGTTTGCCCGAATGACACTTAAGAGGCTGGTCAAATGGTAGGTGTAAGGGCATGTTGATGCATTTGCCATTTCTGTGTATCATTGAAATGGGATGTTGCGTGTGCATGTTTGCCCACATGACTATTTCGAGCCTGGACACATGGAAGACTGTAATAGCATGTTTATGACCCTAGTCATTTGTGTCGGGCGGGACTACATGCCAGTTCTGAGCCCTGTAATGTAGAGGGGTGTATGGGCATATTAGTCCAAATGATTTTGCTTGTTTGTTTTTTGTTTTCCTAGAACTCACTCTGTAGACCAAGCTGGCCTTGAATTCAGTCAGAACTCTACCACCTGCTTCCAAATGCTATTTCTGAGCCTATTCTTATAGGAAAGACTGTCTGGGAATGTTGGCTCATGTGGTATTTCCAAATCTGGTCATATTGGAGAGGCAAGAAGGACAGATCATCCACAT